AGGTCCTCCAACTTTCACTCCCTCAGAATTACAACCTTTAGTCTGTCCTCCAGAAACTCAGAGAGCATGTTGAGAGAAGTGCCACCACTCTGTTGCAAAAGCATGAGTATCATGAGCAAGTGTAGGAATTGGGGAAGAGTTTTATCTCTAAGCATTAGAAAATAGTTTTCTAATCTTGTTTCTGTAATGTTGACATCGCAAGGAAATCGCTACAAAAATGTATAAAACTACAGCTCAGTGAAGATGCTTATATATAATTCCTCATGATTAAAAGTCTCATAGTAGAATTAAGTTGCATCTAAGTAAAACACAAACTACTCATTGTATTGCTGCCTCCAGAGATTTAGAAACAGAATTTTTATTGACCCAGATGTATAATTTTTATAGTCATTAGACTAATTCACCAAATACAAAGCAATGATCAGCAAAACAGGAACTACACAGCCATAATTAGTACCTGGGGGGTATCTTAATTAACTGTAGAAAGGATGTGGCCTGAGATGAATGATGAGCTAGTGATGGGTTCTGAGATAGTCTGCAATCTTGTGAGAGGATCTTTGTCAGAGAGGGGTGCTGCAATTCTCTTTGCTGCCCAGTCAGCCTCCATGGGCTCCAGGAAGTCGTTCAGTCCCTCTCTGTGCTGTGGGGATGGATAATCTGCACTGTGGAAATGCCAGTGTCTCCTTTTTTGTGCATCTTGGTATTGCGAATTAAAGAAGATAAAGATCCCAACATTCAAATTAAATCAAGTGTATCTTTTGGTTAGAAAACTTCATCTCTGTGCAGTGTGAGTGCAGCCAGACTTACCTAATTTGATGTGGCTGACAACATTTCATTATGAAATTTGTTGAGTGCTTTTTGTGGCAAGGCCTAAAGTAGTTCTGTGGGCAAGACTGGGTAGACTTAAAGACAATCTAAGGAGGCTAACTAGGTAAGTCTAGTTACCAAGCTGGTCTAGAGACTAGCTTAGGTAAGGTGCTATGCCTGTGGTAGGAGTAGATGAGATTCTGCCAGCTGTTAAGTGTTTAATGATCACGCAAACTACATAACCATGCGTTTTAATAGCAAAAGATGGGTTAAAGAAACTGCATCTCCACTGCCAACAGAACTGCAGCTCTTCAGTAGCTGTTGTTCTTGAGCAGGACAAACTGTTTACTGATGCCTTGTGTGGGCAGTTGCAAGGATTGAGAAACCCTTCCTGTTGAGATAAGCTGCACTGTGCTGCCCGTGGCCGTGGGCAGCTGTGCAGCCCTGCTTGCACAATGCCCTGCTTGTGGAGCTGTTGTTTGACTTACTCGCTGCCTGCTTGCATCATTTTTGTCTCCTGGCTTTGGGGAGTAGTTGGATGCCGATGAGAGTTGAATCTGGGCTTTCCCTGTGCCTGCTGCAAGGAGCACAGGGTGTGGGATGGGGACAGCAGGCAGGTGGTGGTGCACAGGAGAGGGGCATGACCCCTTTGGGGAGGCCAGCTGTCCCCGAGCCCACCCAGGCTCCATTACTCATCTGTTTGGTAAACTGCCTAGTGTTGTAAAGCCTGAATTTTAAGGCTAGATTATAAATACCACAGTCCTTGTCCAAGTAGTAAAAAGCATGAGTAAAACACAATTTGGCAATTGTTTTGTCTTGACAATTGCAATGGCATTTGAAACTGATGTGCCGTGATTGCACTAGTCAGGGTGTTTATGGGATGCTCTGCTTTATGGTGCAAGTGATCTAGTGTATGAACAGAAACACATACAGCGTTAGTTTTTGAGCTGGCTTTCTGTCTGAAAATCTGCTCCTTTCCTGTTTTGACAGTGGAAAGTCTAGTGTATGAACAGAAACACGACAGCGTTAGTTTTTGTGCTGGCTTTCTGTCTGAAAATCTGCTCCTTTCCTGTTTTGACAGTGGAAAACTCTTTTCTTTACCACTCTCACAGTAAATAATGAATTGTGTATGCAAATACACTTTGGGTACTTCTGGACAACTTGAGCTGAGTTTTCAGTTACCTGAGACTTGTATTCTGAACATTCATGAAACCCATTTCTTGCAGCCGTTCTCTTCTGTGCTGTTCCTTCAGGGAGAGGGAGAGTCAAGTAAAGTTGGAGGATTTTGCTTACAACTCTGCCATGGAGTACCTGGTGCTTTGAGTTACTGTAGCAAGGCTGTGCACCGAGCTTCCAGCCTTGCTTCACTCATGTCACTTCTCCTTTTGGTCTCAATGAATGTTTATTTTCTTAAAACTCAAATACAGTGGATATGTTGAATTTACCAGCATGGAGGATGCTGCTCTGCACAGAGCTTCCAGCCTTGCTTCAGCTCATATCGGTTCTCCTTTTGGTCTCAGTGAATGTTTTATTTTCTTAAAACTCAAATACAGTGGATATGTTGAATTTACCAGCATGGAGGATGCTACAAGGAGAAGCTTAGCAAACTACAAAAATGTGTGGCTGCGTTCCAAATGAAGATACATTAGAGCTGAGCCTCTTTGAGGTGTGCACCCTTGAGTAATGAGCTAATCAAGCCTTTGCTGCTGGTGTCAGACTGCCTGGTGCTGCTGAGGCTGCGGTGTGCCCCTGGTGCCTGCACATGCAGCCAGCCGTGTGTTCCCTGCTGTGCCCCGAGATGGAGCTGGCAATTGGCAGGGACGTCGTGTTTGTGTTGCAATCCTTGCTGAAAGCCTTGCCTGATCTTTCTGGGGCAAGAGCAGATAGGAGCTAAACTGTCAGCTTGATTTTCCGCTCTGGCCGTGAGCATAGGTCAAAGACCTGGAATAAAACCTGTGGGACAAAGTTCAAGCCAAGCTGTTGGTCACAGGGTTCTGCCTGCTGCTTGCTCATGGGCTGACACACAGGGTGTTAATGACTCAGGGTTTAGATTTCTCGTGTCCATGGAAGCCTTGCTTTAGTGGGATTCAGTTGCCTGCACTTCCCCGGGGGGTGGGTGCTGAATCCCAGACTGGAGAGTTTCCCTGTGCCTCGTGGAAGAAAGCAGCCTTGCTCTCATGATCATGAACACATCATTACTGGAAGGCTTGTTATGAAGCTTGGAGGAATTTAGGAGGAGAGTGTTGGAACACTGGTTTTATCTGTTTCCTCTTCTGTCACTGTTAGGAGGAAAGCAGTAATTAATACAGCTGGGTGTGAAATGCAGCATTTTCTGTTGGCTCTGACTTCTTTCTGCTATTCAGTTTCCAGGCTTAGCACAGACAGACGGCAGCAGTCAAGTCTTTCAGTTAGTTCAGAATCCTTCTTAGGAGGAAAAAAATTCAGTTATGATCTTTACTGAACAGTCTTACCTTGAGGATCTAACAGCCTAATATAGGGGTAATTAACCTTTTTTTTTTTTTTAAATTGAGTGTTTAATGTGCTGGTATTGGCAAAGAACCTGGGAGCATGAACTCTGGGTAGCAACTTCATAAGTTTATAGCTAAAGGAGAAATAGCTTGAAAGTTTGCTCACTTTCTAAACGGTGTCCAAAATACACAGTTCCAGAAAGTTCCTGGGAGGCACAGTTTCAATCCTTAATCTGACTTTATTAGGAAGATTTGGGGGTGGGATGTGTGAGCCTTGCTGGAGCAGCAGTTTAAAGTGAAATATCCTCTGTCAACTCGTGCACTGTGAGCGTGACACCTTCAGTTGAGGTGTTAGATAAGACCAGGAAAAATTATCTGAAAAATTTGATGTTAGAAAAAGCAACTCAATAAAATCTTAGTGATGGTTGGTCTTTGTGGGGTTTGTCTGGAAATTTTTTTAGCATTGTTTCTTGAATAAATTGTCATGATTGATAGGAGACAGCAAAGGGGTAAGCATGGCAGAGAATGAAATGGAAGGCTGGTTTTTTAATATCTCCTGGAGGAATGCTTAGGAAAGAACATTTTCTGACTTCTGGAAGTGGGCAGTTTTTTACCCAAAGCAATTTATTCTTTTAAACAATAATACTGTATATTTCCACCACAACGTTGGTTACTTAAGAGGTCGTTGAGAGGTTTCCACTGAGTCAGGTGGTTTTGAGTCAGAATTTTAACTTGAGGTTGTATTTTGTTTGTGTTTCTTGATGATGAAAAGAGTATAAAGGAGCATGAAGAATGTGCTCGTGTCCAAAAGCAGCTAATGCACTTGGCAGATTTGTAAGAGGGTATTTGTCCAGTAAACATAATGTAATAGGATCTAGGAGATTCCCAAATGTAGATGATGTGCTGTAATGGAAATTGTGTTAAGGCTTCACTAATGCTTTGAGAAGTCTTCAGCTGCAGAGCTTTAAAGGTGCTTTTTATGGTCAATGTATGTGATTCACCATCTTATAAAATATGTCAAGACTAAATGAGTTGTCATTTTTTCAGTCTTGCTACGAAGTTCAGTGCTCTGCATTACTCTTTAAGTGAAATGGGGGATGTTGTCTTCTAAAGTAGCAGTTAAATGGCTTTAAAGAAAAATCCAATTATGCCACTTCAGTCACTGCTTAAAATACAGCATCCACTGGCCTCTTGTGGTGTGGCAATAGGAAGATTAATAGGAGAGTATATTGGTCTCAAGAATTTTGAGATCATCCTTTTGTCATGGGAAATCTCTCCAGTCTCCCAGTAAAACCAAATTTGGCTAATTCGATCCAAGTTTTCTCTGTGGTTACTGAAAATTATTTTGAATTTTACTTGCTTCTTGACAGAAAAATGTTCCAAGTATATCAGTTTGTTAAATTTAGTTCTATGAGGATCATGCACTGCTGCTTTTAGATTTCTTTTAAACTGGAGGAGTCATTTAAATTATGCCCTGTTAAAACAAAAGCAGAACACATGCTGAACAGCTTTTGCACTGCTTTTTATATGTTCAGGAGACCCAGTTACTAGAAATAGGCACTTAAATTAAAAATAGGTCAGTTGTCATGTATAGATAGTTTAAATGAACCACACAGAGCTCATATTGGATAGATAGAAAATTGGCGTGTCTACTAGTAAGCAGTGACGTGAGAACAATCAGGAGACTTTGTTTCATTCCAGATTTTTCTTTGCTTTGCTTTACAGGAAAATCTTCACTGACGATCCAGTTTGTGGAAGGACAGTTTGTTGATTCATATGATCCAACCATAGAGAACAGTAAGTAAAAAACTTCCAAGCTCCTCTTCTGTACCAAGCTGGGTTATACATATTACTGGTGTGGGTATTTACATATCAACATTAAAGTCCATTAATTGCCACAGAAGTTTTATTATTCTTTTGAAGCAATGCTACATTGTTGCAGCATGGAAATCACTGTGTGCATATTTCTCTAGACAGCTGAACTTTTAACATTAAATGAAGAGGCACCTAATGAATCTGGCTAAAATGTACCTCCTTGTATTTTATGTGTGTTGTTGAGCATCTGCTTCCCCTGATGTACTTGTGGCACTTTAAATTCCTTCCATCACACTATATGAAAATGTGCCACCAAATACAAATATTCCAGAGTCTCACCTAAGGTCAGTATATCCAGATGAGCAGAAAGGCAGCAATACCCATCAGGATTAAACCACTTAGAAGGTAGGCTACGTGGCTATGATACATGATAATCTTTTCAATTCCTCCTTTCCAGCAGCTGGATAACAAGGCTGCTACACAATCAGCTTGCTGCAAATACTGGGTGTTTGACTTGTCAAGTGTTTTTTTTTCCTCTTAGCAGTTCTTTTAAAAATAATTTTAGTACCTTTGTGAGTAGCTGGCGTAGCAGGTGAGTAAAGACTAAGGCTAAAAATGTGCCAAGAGGAAAAAGTCATTTCAGAGGTTACCTGGCATTCATTACAGTCCAGCCACCTCTTTCTGAGCTAGCAGTGGCCATAAAGTACTTCAACAACTGCAGTGCTGGGCTGAGTAACTTGATCATGTTGGCTTACTTTAGTCATGTGGCAAATAAAAGTGGTTTCAGGATTGTAGCCCTGGGGTTCTTGTAATTTAATGACTTGTGTAGCACACATTTTTAGTGTTTTGAACTTATGCAGTAGGATGTTGAGTCTGTGTGATACTCTGGAAGCTTGAATGAAGTAATCAGCAGAACAAGGGGTTTTTTAATATATATATATGGTATATCATTACATCAGTAGCTATCAGAATATTTTACTTGGGATTATTTTATTGCTTAGAACTAAAATTCAAATGCTATTTTTTGAGGAACTATAAATTTGTTTTAGCAAGTCAGAGTGGATAATTTGGCCCTTGGTCTGAATGTTAGCTCTTACACAGATATTAATACTAACACTTTCCATCATCCTTTTTTACTTTGTTTGAATTATAAGTCAGGTATGTCTTGAATTAAAGCTGCTAGCAAAATACTGGGGTTTAAGCTTCTCTGTTTATAATCTTAATTCAGTTGGGGCAGGTTATTTTTCACTGTCTGTGCCATATAAATGCAAATTATTTAAAGTAATCTCTTAGTTTTATGCAGCTGCATGTGAATGAATAAAGACTGAGAGACACAAAGTCTTTACAAAATACTGAATCTGTGTCTTGTTTTAGGATTTTGACACCTTGGTACAAGATTTGTCTTGTTTCATCCTTTACCTGTTGTCTGTAGCTGCTGCTACAGTTTGTAACTCTGTATTTGTGTGCCTCACAACTTCAGCATTTCTGAACCATACAAAAATACCCTGTGGATGAATTTTGCTCTTATTTCACTCTCCTAGTCTGCACTGTGTGCTTGATCTGAATTCTAAGCATTGAGCATGTCCTGGCCATGAAGACTTGCTGGGAGGGGGCATCTTGAAAAGCCTTAACTTTTCACTTGGTTTCCTTCTTGTATGGAAAATAAACATCATTCATTTGGTGTAAGTCTTGTGATCTGTGGCGTGGTAGGAGGAATTTGCTTTCTGAAAGGTAGAGAATTGAAGGGTCCTTCTGACATCAGAAAATGTTGCTGGGAAGTAAAGGTTGAAAAGATAAAAGTTATGCCCTGGGGCTCAAAACAGTGGGAAATCTGTCCCATCTTTAAGCCCCAGAAGGCCTGGTAGAGATAATGTCTTAAAAATGCTTCTGTGAATAGCAGACAAGAGAACACATTGTAATTGAACACTAAAATTTAAAACTTACTGATTTTTTTAAAGACAGATGTGAAACTAATTTTAATGGGTTAAGTAAAAAATAATTCTTTTGACTTAGAATTTTTTTGTCATTAGGTTTTTTTTTTCTAAATAGAAATCTTTGTTCAGTGAAGTCTTTGGATGCTCCCAGCTGTGTTTCTGGTTCTGTGTAGGGTCATAAGATGCAAAGTACATGAGCAACTCTTAGACTTTTCCTAGCTTGTGATTTAACATCTGGTGGCAAAAAGGGTTGAAAAGTCCAGGTTCTTACACTGTGGACAGTGTTAGAGAATGTTGCTTTTTTCCAGGGCATTATAACAAGTTGTAAAACGTTTTCAGTTTCATCTGGTGGTTGGGTCTACACATGTAACAAAACTTGGACATTAAAAGCATACGTGGGAAAGGATAGTCTGGCCTGTGTGATTTCTGTGTTGTCTCCAGAAAATTGTTGTTGATAATTTGTTACATTATTCTACCAGCAGTGAAGAAAGCGTAGAAAGCTGCAGTGCTGTTGGTAATGCAATCTTCATAATTTTTGTTCTCAAATAATAAAACTTGCACAAAATGTTGACTGCAAAGCTAAATTGTATGTAAGGCAAGCTGTAATCATGCTCTTACAGAACAAGTTGTGTAGTTTATAAGCCTTGAGCAATAGGAGTAAGACTTAATATTGTAGAAATACCAGGTTTTAAGTATGAAAATTTCTGCCTTTGGAAGTGATAAAAGGAAAATAAGGTGCATCAGATTTTGCTCTATTGTTTGTAAAGGTTAGGACAGCTTCACTGCTACATTTTCCTTTGCTTATATTACATTTGCAGCAGAAAGATTAATTTATTTCTGTTAAGGGGCATGCTGAATTCTGTTCCTTCTACCAAACTTTTGTGTCAGGAAGAATAACTTGTATCCTGAGCAGCAGTGGATAGCAGTGGAGATCAGAGATAATTGCTTCAGGAAGAGACTTTCCCTGTCTGAATGTCCCAACAGGAGTGACATCTCAATGGGTGGCTATTTCTGAGACAGCCAGGTTGAGAAACGAGTGGAGCTGCTACTGCAGGAATGTTGGAAAGAGAAGAAATACCCTTGGAGAGCAGGAGTGTGTGGGCACTGGGCTGCATGGGGCTCTGCAGGCAGATCAGCTCACATGAACTAAGACCAGTGCAAATTAAAATGCAACAATTTTACAGGAATGAAAACTAGAACCTGAATTTGAAACTCAGATAGGTCAGAAGGATCAGGTAATGAAGATGTGCACTTAACTCCACCCACATCATCTTTGCAGGGATGTCTTGTGTTGCAAGTAAGATGACTTGAGTGCTCAGGTCTCAAATGTGTCCTCCAAAGCCTGCCTGGCTGCTTTTTGATTTTTGTTGCAGTTTTAGGGGGTCTTCTAGCACTGTTTTTCACAGCTCTGTGGTCTTCCTTTCTCCCCTAAATGCCTCACTAGCTCCCTAAGAAAAGGAACATCTTCCCCCATGCTTCCTACCTCCATCCCATGCTTTTTGATACAAACATGAGTAGGAGCATATTAGAAAGGAGCAGAGGGCTGGAGGACCCCTACTAGTGGAGGAGCTCCTGTAGGTTTAGGTGAGTCTGACAGAGAATCTTCAAGGCTAAACTTCTACACATGCCTTGGCAACTGCACTGGAAGGGTGAACTGTGCTTCTCTGGAGCTGCTGGTGAGCAGCCTTCTAAGGGGTGCAAGTGAGACTTCTGAGGAAAACTAAAAATAGCTCTCCTGCATCACACATCTCAGTGTTGTGAAGGATGTCCTGGTAGATTAGTGGCAGGCATTGACTTTGGAATGCAGGCAAGAAGGAGATGCAGGAGGTGGTGACCAAGGAACGCTTGTGAGGTGATTGAATTTAGCTACCAGCCATATTGTGGCAATGATGTTACCCTTTCTTTAGTATCACTGTTGATCTAAAGGCCTGCATTTCTTTGCCTGTTACTTTTTGGGTTTTTTTAATCTAGCATAATGGCTTGTTTCCACAGCAGCTGTCACGGAGTTGCACATACAAATAATTTCATTCATGCTGGTCTAATTACAATGTACTTTATCTTCAGGTAGCCATGATCACTGGAGTTGTGTTGCAAGGTGAATATATGTCCAAAAGCCATGTTCCAGTTGATGAGCAGTGTTTTGGAGATGCTCACATTATGATTTAATGTCAGGTCAGGTCTGCTGCAAAGTGTCTTTGGCCTACTAGGAAGAGCCAAATTGTGCAGGAATTGTATTGTTTGTCTTGTGCACAAGCACAGCAGAAGTCCTAGGATGATAGGTGATGGAATTGGAAGTGAACATTTTGGCTGGATCAAGGGGACCAGGTTTTTCACAAAATTAAATTCTTAACTAGGAATGGTTTTAAAAAGCTTCAGCAAAGAAATGGAAGTCAATAGTTGCAACTTCATCAAAGCAGATTTGTCTTCACACAGTGGGCTGTGCTTAGTGCTGCAAGGCTCTGCTCTGTACTAACAGCATTCCTCACCAGGCTGTGCTGACTCCTTCACTGTTTCCCTTCTCTCTCTGTCACACTGTGCTTTCAGTAAAGATGATGATGACATCATTGCTGTGTCTCTTCCAGGCTTTTAGAATAGTCTGAAAAAACTGTCTGACCCTTTTTAAATATTAACTTCATGATGCCCTTGAAGTTACTTTGACTGCAGATGCTTTGATGTGTATGTGAAGTGTCAGGAGACTGGAGAGGCTGTTACTTGCCCACCTGTAAAGGCAGTGTGTCTCCAGAGGAGTCTGTTTTCCCTCTGACTCCAAGCAGTGATATTGTATATAGCAGCACTGCCTGCTAATACCTGTTCAAGCAGTTTGTCCCCATCACAGCATTCATCCAAGGCAAAGAGCCATTGTGGATCTGTGTTTCAGAACCTAAAACTTCCAGTTGTTTGCAGCAATAACAGCAGCATCCAGATTTGAGGGCAGCACATGTGCTAAAGCAGCTTTCTTAGGGGATAACCAGGGTAAGGCAGGAGCTTTCTTTGAGGCCACATTTCAAATGTCATTTGCTGATTTTGTAATGGAAACTATAGGTACACTTTACACTGTTGATTTAGATGTTGTTAGGTTGGCTTTGCTGTTTGAATTGCTCCTTTTTTTTGAGGATTGGATTTATGAGGTGGGTTGAAACCTCCAGTTTCAGCTATTTCAGCCCACTTATTCAAGATAATGCTGACATTGTGGGCACTTGACAGAGGGACAAGCTTGGGCTGGGAGGAGGAAAGTTGGCCAACTCCATCTTCTTGAGGCGTGGGCAGGGACTGCACAGCGGGGTCAGAACGTTCAGCTGTGCAGCTTTGGGAGGCTGTTGGCCAGCTCAGCTCACCTCAGTGACCTGTTCATCTGACTCTGTTTCCCTGCTCATCACTGCAGTGGCAGATGAGGTTTCTGAGGACTGCTGCTAGTTGGGAAAACCATCCCAACTGGAGGATAACACAGACTTTAGTCAGTGTGTCAGTACTGTCCAGCAGTGGTGTCTGGAGTGTCTCGAAGGCCACATGAGACTTCCAGAGCCAGGTTTGTGTGCTCTGGTTGGGACATGATTCCTGCAGGAGCTGTGACACTGTTTGCTTTTGCAGTTACATAACACAAACACTGGGTAAGATTCCTCGGCTCACAGCACGTTGGCATTTCATGAATCCGAGGAAGAGCAGCAATTCTCATCACTTTTAGGGACTGAATGTACTTTGTGACTGGGGACTGCATAGGCTGGTAGCTGCAGCAAATGTGAAAGTAACATGGTGAACTTAGCTAATTGTCATCATTTGGTTTAATATAATCATAAGTTCTGTGTGTTTTAGCCCTCAGCGATTTTTCCTTTTTTCAATCCAGATCACTTACTTCGTGATATTTACATTTAGGAAATTGATCTTGCTAAACTGTTTGGTAACCAAGGAGAAGACCCTGTAATAAGTTCAAACTTAGCTTTGATGCCAGTTGAATTTAAGTGTCTTGTGTTACAAGACAAGATTATGATTGTCTGGATCTTGTAGAAATGCATGTAAATCCTTTTTATTCCTCTTGTTCCCTCTTTTACTTAAGAGCAAAGAATGAACTGCTGCATCCAGAGTGAGAATCATCTGAAATCTTAAATTCAGTTTCTGAGTTTTGCCACCTGCAATAGACTATTGCATCTGATTAGCCTTTTATTGCTACTTAAAAACCTGTAACTGGAGTTCTTTTCTTCATGTCTTGGCTGATGATAGCACAGATTACTGACTTCTGATCTCTTCCTTGTAATTCTGTGTGTAATTCTGATCTGTTTATGTATTTCTTGTTCTAGCTTTTACAAAACTGATCACAGTAAATGGCCAAGAATATCATCTTCAGCTGGTTGACACTGCTGGCCAGGTAAGTTAGCTTTCTTTGAATCTTTCTTCTAAGTTATGATAACAGGTATTGATATTCCTGTTGAGCTAAGTTAGTAGTGACTGTGCGTTCAGAGGTGAAAGTTAACTTAAAAATGGTCCTGACTTGTTGTTTAGTCACTAAAGAACTTTTTCTGTAGCATTTATTTAAAGGTTTTTGTTTGTTTTTTTACTGGGTTGGGATTTTTTTCCCTATCTATTGAATAAGTACCTAAAAAAGGGAAGAGGAGACTACTGTAACTCTGATGTCCCAAAAGTTCATCAGTAATGTATAATATTTACAGAGTAAATGAGCAGTCTTGCTTTAGATGAAAAAGGGTGCTTCAGTGAACCATAGGGAAATTTTTCATAGCTTTTTAGTATTTGTCTGCTCCAGCTACGCCACCATGACTTGTATCCATGGAGCAGTCATGGGGAGCAGACGGATTCATGTGGGCGGTACTCAGTGAGTTAGCAATAACCTGCTGCAGTGTGTCTGCATTTTACCGCGATGGCTCACGCGCGCGTCCGAGCTGCGCGTAATGACGGGTGAGCAGAGGGAGCACGTGTCCTGCAGCGTGCTGGGCAGCTCTGGGAGGTGCAGCTATTCCTTATTTACAGGTACAGGGGGTCATTACACACTGCTGCTTGGCTGGACCCATGCACAAGAGTGCTGTGTCTGTGGAGAGACTCTATATGAGGGAGAAAACTCATCAGGGACCACTAATTAGACCCCTGTATTTTTATCCTAATTTTTTTTTTCTTTGCTTACATGCTCTTGCCTTCCATGATCTCATACTATGCCTTTGGGTTTTTCCAAACCATGAGTAGTGGTAAACAATGTTAGTGTTGTAAAATACACTGCCACTACTTAAGGCTTTAAAGCTGCAGGATACCTGCTCATAGCTGTGAGACTGGTCAGAGGGGTTGTAACTTTCTAGGTATGTTTGATTGCTTTCTTGGAAGAGAGCTGTGACTGGGGACTAGCCATGCTGTATTTCTGTGGTGTCAGCCCTTGGTGCTCATCAGCAGCGTGTGTAATCACTCAGAGGTGTCTGAGCACAGCACTGGCCACAGGATTGCTGGATGGGGAATGCTGTGCAGAGGAGAGGGGCAGGCTGAGGAGTGAGAGCAGCAGAACGAGCTCCATGGGTGTCACTCAGTGCCATTGTAAGTGCACTTGCATTACAGCTCTGATTGTGTAGCACAGTGATAAAAGAAAAATTCCTCTTTGAGGAGGAAATTGCCTTCTGGGAAGGCAGTGTGACTCACCACTAACATACCTCTGTTGCTGGGGATTGATTTAATGTTATACAGTATTGGGGAACCTAAATAGCTGCTTTCCCAGCCTGTGGATTTTCAGATTTAATTCTTCATGGAACGATTTGAACTTTGATTTCTGGCACACGGGGTTAGAGTGGGGAGATGATGTTGGATCATGGAAGGTGTGGCTTGGACAGATTTCTTTCTCAAGTCTCTTGCTTAATGGCCCTTAGGGAGTCCTCATGTGTATACAGCACAGCAAGAACTATATTGCAGATTTGTTAAATACTTTTGAAAACATGGATATGGCCTGAAAAGTTGTAGCAATGTTGTTTTATCACTTGACAGATTTCTTAATTTGACCCATAAGTTTCAATGAGCATCACAGCTTTCCTTCCATCTCCTAATGAGCTAAAAATAAAGTCATGAATTAGGAACAGTTGAGATTATGGCACTTATTTTTCTTGGTATTCATCCTCTATCCTGTGCCTCTACTTTTCTGGTTATTTACTGAGCTTTGTGCAGTTCAGTCCAACAGGGGTCTTGATACAGGGTCACAGAAGAGGAGCGTAAAGGGAAATCTTACCTAACACCAAATTCCAGCTGGGGCAGTCCTGGGAAATTCCGGGTAAAGTCAAGCCACTACAGAGTTGCACTTTCACCTTTTTTACACAGACTTAGCTCAGATCCCTTCTGTATTGACTTTGGGATTTCACGTCCAACTGCAGTGGCACTTTGGCATTTCAGGGAAGATGGGGGAGGGCTGCCCTCTGTAGCAATAAAGGCAAGTAAGAGCAGCTTTTGCCAAGTGTTATTCTTTCAAACTTTTTTTGGCTGGATCTGTGAAGTTGATTTATAAAGAGTTTTTCCTCTTCTGCCAGTGAGGGAAGTTTGATTCCTTTTGGGTGTCTCAGATTTAAGCTATGTGATTGCAGTGCTCCATCTGTTCAGCCATGACAATAACAGAGAGGTTATTTGATCTTCAGCTAAAATTAACATCTTCAAAAGCAAAAGTTTAACAATTTGAGAACTCATACATTAGGAAGTATGGCTCTTGTCAAAATGGAAATGTTTCCTGGGAATGTCTGTTGGAACAGGTTTTTAACCTTGGAGTCACAGTATTTGTGTTGCATTACCTGCAGTATATCAGTCTGTTTTGTTTGCCTATTTGGTCAGTCCCTTTTCTAGAGGGGTAATAAATTCACTGAGTAAGTTTCTGGTGGTTTTGTCTGGTTTTCTATTTATGTAAACACTTGTCCTATAATGTAAACTTGCAGTTGTCATAAAGCAAATAATAACTGTATTTTTTGCACTTGATAAGCATAAGTTAGTAAGCCACAATTATTCACTTCCTACCAGATTCCTTAGGTAATTTAGATGTGATCAGTGTCATTTGAAATTACAAACTGCTAGATCTTTTCGTCAGCTGTTGAAATTAAAATTTTGAAATGTATCACCAGCAAGATAAGAGGCATAATTGCTAATTAGTGGTGGGACAGAGTGGATGTTTTGTACTAATACAAACAGATAATTAAGCAGGATAAGAGGATTGGGAAGAGCTTCAGCTCATCCATAGTCTTAGAGGGAATAAACCATTAAAGCTGTAGATTAAATTTTGGAGTATACAGAGGGACTTATAGCCTTCTCTAGGTTTCCTAAAGATGCTGCTTGTGACATTATGATAAAAAAATCTGAAAGTACTGCCTATACAAAAGGTCTATGACCAACTTACCTGATGGTGATCTCATAGCATCAAAGTCTGAACTGTGGCACCCTTAATTTTAACTGCAGTATTCCTTCCACAGGATGAATACTCCATATTTCCTCAGACGTACTCCATAGACATCAATGGCTACATTCTTGTTTATTCAGTCACGTCAATAAAAAGGTAATAAAATCTGTTTGTGTTCTTCTCTTTAAATATTTTCTGGGTTTAGCTCCTGCCTCTGCTGTACTTTGTGTGATTATTTCAATTAATCTTTCTCCTTTAGAAGTATAGTAGGAGTGAATATTAATGTTTTATCAGATATGTCCCCTTGGACCCAAATGTCACAGACACTTTGCAGACTAGTGTGCAAGGTACCACGTAAGAAATGAGACAGTGTTAAACTACATTGTTTTGAGGTGTAAGAAGTACAGAGGATCATTACAGAAGTGAGTTCATTGCTCTTGCATCAGATAGAAAGGCAGACATAAATACAAAGCTGAAGGGCACTGTACATTTATGTGAAGTACCCAGTTAGTCACTAGATCATTCCTTCAGCCTTGTAGCTTTTTACAGTGCTGAGATTCCTTTGACTTCTTGTATGGAATTGTCCTGGTTAACCATAGAAATCCTCATATAAACAGCAATAGGTGACTTCTGGACTGTAAACCCTCTCCTGGCATGCTGCAGCAAATAATCCTCCCTGAAGGTTGTCCCAGAGTGTCCCTCTTGTTCTTGCTGTTCCCTGTCCAGTCCATCATACCTGGTGTCACAAGACACATCAGCCTCTGTGTGGCTTTGTCATCTTCTGTTATTTCCTCCCTTCCTCTGGTCATCTTGCTTTGTTTAAATAATGCTTATCCTTGAGCAGGTGTTGATTGTCTAATATTGTACAACATCTTTATTAGGTCAGCTGAAATTTTCTGAAATTTTTGTTTGAAGAGAGTGATTAAGACCCTAGATCTTTCAGTCTCATCAAGTACAAGAGAAATTGATGCTTCCCTTTTACTTCAAGGCAGTTAATCAGCTTTTTACAAGTGCTGAAGTGTTTCATATATTTTCCTCTGAATCAAACAAAACTGATCATTTCAAGCTCTTTGATAGACTGTCATAAAATACAGGTAAAGCAACTTGCCTGTTGGCTCTTTTTCTTTCTCAAAGGAAAGATATAGTCTGGTTACAAATTTCTGCTGCTTGCAAGGTCTTTAATGTTGAACAGATTTCACAGTTCTTCATTATTGGTTTTCATCTTCAGTTCTGAAGTAGAGAAGGGCAAGCACGTTGTTAAGCTTTTATGTGTGTCTAGAGATACTAAACTACCAAACTCTCTCTGGGTCTGGGTTTTTAGTGAGAGGTTCAGTGTTGGTGCTGGGTAACTTGTATGAAATAGGAGTCAGTATTCTCTACTTAAGTAGACAATGCTCCACTCCCAAAGCAAATACAAAAAAGTTCACTGATAAATGGGTGCTGTGAGGACAGAAGTAAACCAGTGTACATCACTCGGGATTCTGCAACCTGTGCTGTTCCCTGCTTGGCAGCTAAAGGGCATGTTCTTTCTCAGCTGCTCCAGTTGTTGCCTTGTGATGTTTTGAGCTCACCAGATGAAGAAATGAACATGTTTTCTGTGGTAGCATTCAATCAGTTAAACCAAGTTACGGTTAAAATACAAACAGGAAAGACGAGGTTAAGGCTGTAGGTCAAAAGTCTTTTCATCAGTATTTAGGCTTGATCAGTTTATACCAAGTTTTTATTGTTGTTGTTGTTTCTTCCTTAAAATTTCAAAGTGTCCATGGTCCTGTCTTGTTCAATTCTTGATGTCCTGTATCAAGGCAGTGTTTAGGTGGTAGGAAAGATCCTCCACAGTACTCTGGTAGCTTCGATGGCTTGCCCAGACAATGAGATCAGTCTTCATCTGTCCTGACTTCTGTCAAAGTGTGTATATTGATCCAAATATTGATCCAGCTGGGTGAGAGCTTTGACAGCAGACTTAATAGAAATGCTCTTTTTAAAGTTAGCAGCTTCCCTGCTAACCTCCAGTGGGAAGTTTAAATAGGACTTGAATGAAAGCTAATGCCCTACATTTTTTATATTCCCAGGCTCTCAGCAGCAAGGTTACTGGAAGGCTTTTGCTCTAGTTCAGCTTAATTAAATTCCAATTTTGTATCTTGCTCTAGGTTCCATGATTTTGTGTAACACATTTATCTGACAGCTAGTAATGGGTTTTTTTTGTATTTCACACATTGAGTTGTTTGTTGTAACCCATTTGGTTGACAGAACTGGAAGGGACCTCTTACAGTCTCCAAATCTCACAGTTTCACAGCTTGATGTGATGGTGCTATTTTTGGATTGGTCAGTCCTTGCTCCTTTTTGTCCTTGCTCCTTTCAACATTATTAATTTGGGAAGCTTTCTAGAACATTAATTGGTCGAGCCAATTTCATTCCTGGCAGTTCTTAGCAACTTGTTTCTGTGTCAGAATTGTGTTGGAGTTTAAATAGCACTTCTCCTGTGGTTTCCATCTTGGTCTGTTAACAAGGATCAGCTTTTTATTTGTAGTATTTTCGTTTAAAAAGGAAGGTTGTGAGCAATCTCAGACAAGCAGATAGGTACCCAAAGTGGGGCAATGGAGAGCCCAGGTTCAAGAGCACCTGGCAGCACTGTACAGGGCAGCCTGAGGCAAGGACTCGCCAGGGTGCTGTGCTGTGCTGTTCTTCTGGCTTAGCTGGAAGCAACACACCTAACAGGGGAAAGGAAACAGTCATTGTACTGTTCTAGGGATTCAGTTAGCCTCTGGCTAGGGTGCTAAGATTTTTTTCCTGTTGCTTCAGACTGAGAAGCAGTTTTGTGGTCTGTAGCAGATGGGTTTTTTGGTAGCATTTTTATTCTTTCAGTTTGCCGGGTCATGTAGTTCTGTGTGTACTGATGCCTCTCAACTGTCTCAGCCAAGCTCCATTTAACTTATTTTCTTAATTATCATCATCAAAGATGAGTTCTCAAGACTAGAATTTCACTGATACTCTTTCAGCATAAGCTCCTTATGTCCCTAAAGTCCTTTCATTGATTTCACATTTTTCATTGATTCCATGTTTTCCACAGTGTAATCTGTAGTATCCTACTTGAGTTCCCAGTAGCAATTCGTGCCAGACTAACTCATGCTTCTGTTTACAAAGAACTCACTTTCTTGACAGGATACACTGAAACTATTAGCTGAGCATGGAGAAGCATTGTGTTCCACACAGCCTCAAATATTACTGCTAGAGTCAGACAAATTGACCTGCTTGACAGAAAATCCATCCTAAATGTGGTAGAGTTTATTGTTCTAGAAGGGAGAGGTTTTGCTGCTTTGAATGGTTTTTAGGCACCAGGTCTTTGATTGCTCTGAGCTGGAAGTGTGTTTGAGTGCTGCTCTATTTTTAAGAGTTTCAGTTCTAATTGAAATGCAGTGCAAGTCAAGACACTGCCTGTAGCTAGCAACCTCAGAAACTGGAAAAGCTTTGGTCCCTTTTCTGTTGTCTAGTTGCGTGTCTCATCCAGACCCTATGCCTCTCTTAAATCCAAGTTGTGTACTTCATGTACCAGCATTTTTTCCGTGGTGTAACCAGAGGAGTGCAACATCTGCTCTTCAGCCCCCTTTATAGCTCGTTCTCAAAAGTACTGAATGTCAAATGCAGTGGATTTGTTAGTGAGCTTTTTGACTTGATATTCTACAGTACTGCTTCTTACCTCCTGTCATCCAAATTTCACCTGCGTGGCAGGGGAACAGACAAAGAGTATTTGAATAATCACTGTTCCAGTGCCATCTTGCAGATCAGTTTATTCACTTTCCGTAGAAAATTAGAATTTTGGCTCCTTTTGGCTTTTGCATAAATAAAATTTAGTAATTATGTATGAACTAAATGTTCATTAAAAACAATGAGTGAGCTTGCCTAACTAATTACTTTTTCCTCCAGGTTGCTTTAATTTGACATACTCATCCAGGATTGTTAGACTGCAGCAGTTAAATTTCTCACTGCAGATACAAACCAGATGAGAGGTGGGAGGGACTTGGGGTGATTCTGTGTTAGATGCATCAGTGCTGGGTAATGTTATTTATTTCTGCAAATACCATAACTGGGGAGGCTGTAAGGGTAGGCTCAGGCTGGTCTCTGCTGCTGCTGGGACCAGTCTGCTGTTGTTACACAAACGGGTAAGACTGTTCAGCATCTGTGTAGTTGTGCATACATAGAATAAGTTTTAAACACAACCTACATATGCATTCAATTGCTTGTGTATTGGGTATTGAGGATAAACATCAGAGTGCATGTGTGACTTCATCCCTTTATTTTGCAGTTTTGAAGTGATAAAAGTTATCCATGGCAAGTTATTGGATATGGTGGGAAAAGTCCAGTAAGTAGTGACACTTTCATCTCATTTCATTGCAGGCATGTTGCTAGTGCTTTGTTCAGTATACTGTAACTGTTCTGAAGTTCTGAACTTTCTTTCACAGAATACCCATTATGCTGGTTGGAAATAAAAAAGACCTGCATATGGAACGGTATGTGAACTCCAGAATGTGAGAAATGCAAGGCAGCAGCCTGCATTCCTGTGGCTGCAGCGTGCTGGGTTTGTTCTTGGCTTTCCAGAGCTAAAATCAAATTGGAGGTTAAAATAAGTTACTGGCAAATGACTCATGTCCAGAATGTGAACTACGAACCATGAACTTCTGCTGTAATGTTGATTTTTGCTGTGAGGTTCCAGGGACAGTCATTTAACACTCTGGGTTTTTTTTCAAAGTAAGTAACAGAAGTGTATTTGTCACAGCAGCAATACCAGATAATATTACAGATTATGAAAACAAAGCAATGCTTTGGAACAACTGCTCTTCTGGCTCACAGAGCAGTTTTACCTGGCCCAGAAGTGCATTTGACAGCAGCCAAAAGCAAATGCTTTGGATCAGACTTCACAAGGCATTCCTATTACAATGCACTTAAGTGCTTTGGTACTCATGAGGTATTTCTTGACAGATCAGATTCCAATTCTTCTGCAAGTTATAAGAAACATATTTTTCTTTCTCTGATCAGGGTGATCAGCTATGAAGAAGGGAAAGCTTTAGCAGAATCCTGGAACGCAGCTTTCTTGGAATCTTCTGCTAAAGAAAATCAGGTAATGGATTTAAGAGTCACTTTATTCAAATAGCAATGTAATGGATGACTCAGAGTTTCACTCAATAAAGGAAGCTAAAATATTTGCATGCACTGTACAGATATTTTGTGTAGATGGAAGCAGAACGGCTGTCTGCACTCAGGTTTATGTACACAAGTTTTTCCCCTGCAACTGTCAATGGGAGGAGAAAGTGAAGAACTGAAAGTTCAGCTTCACTGAACATATCAGAACACTTAGTGACAAATCAAACTCACATCCACGGGGTGGGTGGAACAGGGTCTGTTACCTTCAACAGCAATCACTGCTGCCAGAGCAGCGAGTTGGTGTCAGAGGATGAACCTTGTGTTTTAAGGTGCTGGGCAGGCTCAGTCTCTCTAATGGGGCAATAATGATTTTGTCTGATGTTTATGGTCAGTAATTCTGCAAGTTACTTGAGTAAAGTTGGATTTTTTTCCCTGAAAGAAAAACTTGGATTGTATTTTGCCACCAGATATGGAACACTTGGAGTTAGTTTATCAGTATTTCTGTTTTCTGGCTGAAACTTGGATTAACCTTGTCAAAACTGGCATGATGGAAGCATGAAATTTCTCCATATCTTCTCTGTATGCTGGAGAGCTTAAAATGCATGCCAAAGGAAATTAAACTGACAATGTAAAGAATAAACCTGCTAAAAATGTCTGATCTTTTTTTCCACCCCTTTATTTTAAATAACTTCTGGATTAGGCAAAGCTCTTGCCTGTGCTTTTTCATTTGGCATATGTTCACAATGTGCAACGCCACAGCAATTCATACCCAGCAGGAGAATATCTTATTGATAACTTTTCTGGAGTTTCTATTGTTCTTGGACCAAGAAGAAAAAAGTAATGTTTATATATGTAAAGAAGCTACAAGCTTTGTAGGATGCTTGGTATGTCCTGTGTGTTAACTTGCTGTACTGACGAAGTCTCCTGTACTGCCATGTATTTGTGCTCCTGTATTAAGTTAAGCTGCCAACTGGAGTTTATATATCAAACATGGTACCCTTCAGGGAAATCAAAATGGCAATTGTATGTCAGATTTTCAAAATCCTGTACAAATCCCACCAGAAGAATTCAGGAGTCCTGTGCCTTCTGGCTGTCAAAGGTCTCCCTTTCTTCAGGACCCTTCAGAACAGGGATCACAGCTCGCTGTAAATTCCATCCCTCTGGGTTTAGCAGCAGGTTGTTGTTAGAGGCAGGTGCCTGAACACAATTCCTGCTTCATGCCTGCTATATAACACACTTGATAAATTTGTCCATCTTCAGAAGTCTGGCAGATCAGATGTCACTTCAGAGATGGGTGCCTGCAGCATGTGACCACCCTGCAGGCTCTCTGGCCTGTTTCCTTTGGAGGCTTGGGATGTGTGGAATAAAGTGTGAAAGAGCCCAACACTGGCACTGCTGCCTCAGTCTTCTCACACATCCCCAGCTCTGAAGAGGTGGAAGATTGAGTTTTGAGAGCCAAGTGTGGAGTCTGGAGCTGTGGGGTGCTGGGGGAAGAGGAGAGAGACACCAGGCATTGTAACATCCCTCCCTGTGAGTTGGACCAGGAGCACTTCTGAACTCATTTGAGTTTTCTCCTCCAAATCCTAATCTGACAGGATCAAAAGAGCTGATACATAGACTTCTGTCAGAACAGGGCATCTTCTCTTCCTCTGAAGCTGTGTCTGGTCTTGGGGGAGGAAAGGGTTTGTTTTGAATTTGGTAACAAGCTGTGTTGTCATTTTCCTGGTACTGACTGTTCACCTTATGTAAGCCAACATTACTGGAAAAAGAAGTCTGTTGGCACTTTCTGCATTGAGGTTCATCCAAATAATCACCTGTACTGGCTTGGTACTGCAAATGTAACTTGACTATCCAGATTAATTCCAAACTCCTTCCAAAAGTGCTTCAGCTTCTGTTTGCTTAACAGAAAGCTGGTTTATGCTTAAGGCATGAGCTAAACTGGATTTGGAACTTGAGCAGAGAGTTCAAAGCTTCTTGACTGGAGGTATATCTCTTAATGCTCTCTGAAACCAAGCCCATCTGTGTGTGAAGGATTTGGAGCAGAAATATGACAATTTCTGGTGTGCTGGTCTGAGATGGGTTGTGTACATGATGTTCTTCATAGTGGTGAGGAGAGGGGGTGCCCCTGATAACAAAGGCTCTTTCCCCATTATTCTATCTTTGCCTTCCCAGTCTCTCAAAAAATCCTTTTTGGTGCATCTGTGAGAGTCCAAGGAGCATAACCCAATGATACTGGGCAATTAAAATAGTTCTATAGATTAACTTAAACTATGCCTGTTCTGCCAAGAGTTATCACAAGATAACATGTCCCAGAAGTGGCATGACTTGGAGTAGGTAGGAAGTGAGAAAGGCAAAGATGAAAGCTGCAGTGATGATAAATGATAGTGGCTGGCAGGAGTTCTCAAGGTCAGATAGACTTGAGCATGTGCCAGCTCCTCCAGAGCTGGGTGAGCTGGTAGGGCTTTGGGAGGAGCCTGCATATCACCAGCACATCAGTCAGCAAGGGAAATCCCTGGGCTTTGGGAAGGCAGTCCTGACACTTCATGGAAAAGACCTCTCTGAGATGATTGCTGGGCTGTTTCTGTCATGTCTTCTCAAGCTCCTTAATTATTACCAGATATGTTGAACTGCTTTGGCTACCTTCAGGAACTTCAAGTCCTTTCTTGTGGAATTCCCTATGCAGTGTCACCTGGGCTGTGGTAGAGTGCTTCATCTTAATCCCAGTGCAATAAAGTCACTCCTGGAAATACAGCCAGAATCCAAAGGGTCTTAAACCCAGGCGAAGCTGGAAGCCAACTTCTACTGGAAGAATTTAGGAAGTAGCAAGCAACTAAATTGTGTTCATCCAGTTATGCAAAATGCATTAGATAAATTGCAAAAGGAGCAAGGAAGTAGCAAAAAAACTTGCTTCTTACCAAAGTGGAGCTCTCTTAAAAAGCAGTTGCTTGGTTGTGCTTCTTTTTTCAAGGGCAGCTTCATCTTGGAGCTCAGAAGATGCTCTGCTTAGTAAATGCTTCAGAGTAGTTTGGAATCCAGGGATCTGACATGTTTGGACTGGCAAAGGATGGGGGGAAATAACCCTCTTTTACCTGGCTGTTACTCAAATTCCTGTGCCCAGTTCTGTGCTAGGATAAACCAGTAGTGTGAGCAGCTGAGGGTTTTCTCTTTGGAATAAAAAAACAGTTGCCAAAGGGTGACTCTGGCACTGTGTGCTGGATTTTGGTGGTTGCACCTTCCTGCTGCCTCCTGGCAGCACATTCCCAACTCCTGCCCTTGCAGGGAATCTGCCTCCTGAGCTGCCTGTGCTGCTCACAGCGAGGGCACATCTGCAGCAGCAGCTGAGCCTCTGGTGTCCCCTGCTCACTGCTGGGCTCTGTGGGCAGCAGGTGTTGCCCAGGCTGGCATCTCTTTGCTTTGCTCGGGGAGAAAGGTAGAGGGGAAAGCCAGATGGCTTCCCGTGGGCTAGGTGTGACCCACATTCCATAATTGGACCATATGGAGGCAGATGCATATAAAGTCTGGCTGCATCCTTTATTCCTTGTCACAAAACATCTTCCTGTGTTGTTTAAAGGCTCAGTCTAAAACTCCTCAGCACGTTTGAGCTGAATTACAAACTCCAAGGCGTTTGCTGTAGGACAGTAATTAAACCTTCCCAGTGAATATGTATTTTCTGTGAAATGAATTAACAAACCCTGTGAACTCCTACATCTCAGTGCTTCAAGCAGCACATCTCTGACAGGCAATGTGCAGCTTTTTGGTTGACAGAGTAAGTTGTGGAGGTTTTTTAATGTGTTCTGTGAAACGTGGGCAAAAAGACTTTGTGTATTAAAATGAAACCATTGAAAATTTCAACTCTAAGGAAACAGTGGTGCAGCATGTTTGTAAATCAGTGTATCACCAGGTTTTGATTAAGGGGAGCTCTTCATTAGTGGAAGCAGTTTGATAGCAACTGCAGTCCTGGCCATGGTTCTCCTAAAGTCTTAATTTGCCTAGGAAATGTGTTGTATCATCACTAAACTAAATTAGCCTCTTCTGTCAGGTTCTGTTGGGATTCCAGGAAACTCCATTATATGGAAGAATACTGTATTTTCCAGCTGGTGAAGTACTTTAAATAGTTCCAGAGATCGTACTGTGCACAAACAGCATAAATGTAGGAAACTTTAACATGAAGTCTAATCTTGTTAAGATTGCTGTGGGGCTTCAGTCAATGAGATTAATTTGGAAGTGATCCAGTTAAGAATTACATCTTGTGGAGGTGGAAAAACATCTGTTAAATCAGAATATGTAGCCATAAATCACAGAGTGCTCTTCAGCCTGCTGATTAAAACCAACAAAACCCTCTTTCCATCCTCTTTCTAGCATGACTGCTTTTATATAATGAATATACTTTCCTGTGCTGGGAATTCCTGACGTGGATGGCCAGAGGTTGGATCAAATGTCAGTCTGAGATAGTCAGGAGACCATTTCTAAGCTGAAGATTCACACACTGAAGCTCTAGTCATGCAGTTCAGGCTATTTAAAATGTAACAACTTCTCTCTCAGGAGGACTTTATTAAAGGATATTGCTTAATATTAGTGACAATTCAGCTTGTGCTTTCTGCAAGTGTCACTGTGTCTAATATGGATCTTACTCATAGGGACAGTGAGAAAATCAGGAGTAGTAAAGTCACCCCTCATACTGAGCTGTGCAAAGTCAGTGTTGAGAGCTGAAAAATCTGCTGCCTTCTGAAATTATTCATTGTCTTAAAGATTACTGAGAGCAAACTAATTGGTTTATTCTCCAAAGCAGCACAGCATCCAAACCTTCTGTGCAGTCAGCCACTCAGGACAGGCTCACCATGCAAAGGAAGGTGATTACAGTTATTAGTTCTGGTGTGAATCTGGCTCAGTTTGTGCCTGCCCTCCCTGCTGAGGATTGCTGTGGATGAGGGTTTGCACTTCCCTCTGAAACAAAAATTAGTGTGTTTGCCCTCCTCACTTTAGGAATAAGCATTGGATGTGTTTAGCTGCTGATGTAGTTGGTAAAACTGCTAACCTTTTTTTAGTTATTCTTTCAGTAAGTGGGCAGCCCCACCTTCCCTCCTAAACTTGTGCTCTCTCTTTGCAGACTGCCGTTGATGTTTTTAAGAGGATAATTTTGGAGGCAGAAAAAATCGATGGGGCAGCTTCACAAGGGAAGTCTTCATGCTCAGTAATGTAATTCCACTGCAGAACCTGAAAACACTGGGAATACATTCTACCTGAAGAAGCAAAACTGCCCATTATCTTTAAGGATAAACTATGCTTCTTTTTTTTTTTTTTCCCTTTTTTTTTTTTTTTTTTTTTTCTTCTGTTAACCTGAAAGATAAACAGTTGGTTTGGAGCCTTTCCCTTCAGATTATGTTAAACTCTGACTCCTGTGCAAATGGCTTCACTTCCATTTTTCAAATTTTAAGCAATCATATTTTCAATTTATATATTGTATTTCTTAATATTATGACCAAGAATTTTACTGGCATTAATTTTTCAGTGTAGTTTGTTGGTTAGAATAATCATCAAAATGATGCATATTGTTACACTACTATTAACTAGGCTTGGATATCAGTGTTTCTTTGTGTTAAATGTATACTTGTAAATAAAATAGCTGCAAACCTTAAATGTTCTGTTTATAATTTTTCGTTGATTACTCCATATCAACTTTTTTTTTTTTGTGAAAAATGTTCACCTGCTGACCTTAAGAGGAGGCGTGAGATCCTTGGAGCCAATGGATTGTTTGACTATTGCTCGGGAAGTTGTTTGCGAGTGATCCCAAACGTTTTTGCTACTGGAACTCCAGGCTGGCCAAGCAGCTCTGCTTTGCTTTGTGCAGAGCAGAGGGAAGAGAGACAAGTGCCAGCTTTATTTGGAAGTCCTGGGTTTCAGTCAGAACCTGCTCTGTGTTTTCCCTCTGTAAGCGCTGAGTGAAGGGCGCCCCGAGTTCCCGCGCTACGGACTGTTCACGCAGACTTGTGACTGGGAGTGCTGGCAGGATGGAGTGGATTTATCCAGGTCACAAGCGTAGACTTGTTAAGAGAACAAAAATGTCATTTAAAATAAATTGCACGTCCTGAACAAATCGGTGTGGGCTGTTTGTTGTGAATTCCTGTGCTCCTGCTAGAGGTGAGCGGCCTCCTGCTGCCTGGCCGTGCACAGTCAGGGTTCCTGCACAGCTTTCCCTGACCAGCTCCAGGCTTTTCCATGGCTTTTGGACTGGAGGCTTAGCAAGCTGTAATCTCCCAAGTGTGGAAACAAACTACTTACAACTATGTGTTTAAAAAATTTGCAGTTGACCTACTTTGTATCGAAAAGCAGAACAAAACCCAAAATAGTAAAAACAAACAAGGCTGATGTGGGGAACAGTTAATTGAATCAAGTGTTTCACCTGCATTTTTGTGTTCATTTGAAAACTTAATTTCTGACAGGATTATATAGGAAAGGAAAGTTGGAGCGTATTTGCAACCAGAATTTACTTTTACCTTAGAGTCTGTGCTAAAAGATACAAATGAAGCATTTTGTTCCTTTATTTTCTTTGTGCAGTTGTTCCCTCCTATGATATAAAAAATTGTTTAAATCTCTCAACAGTGTACATTGGGAAGCTTGGTATTTTCTTTGGTCATCATGAGAGTAACTGGTAAAAGAAAAAAAGCCCTTTTTCTCCACTTAGGATATTTCCCAATGTTTCTGAAAACCCATTTTCCATGAATTCACACACCCTCATGCCAAGCACAGGTTGAGTAGCTGGATGATTGTTATGCATGATGGATTGCTGGAGTTCAGCAGAGAGTTTGTTCAGGGAAACGAGTCCCTGCTCTGATTTTGGGGCCAGGGCTGTTTCCTGCCCAAGAACCTGCAGCATTGGCTGGCAGTGGAGTGGCTGAGGATGCAGAGCATGGCCTGAGCAGCCCAGCACAGGCTGTGCCAGTCTGTGATATTTCAGTGCCCCATCCCCAGCACTGCTGAGCTGTTGCATGACCTGAGGCTGTGGCGTTGCATCACAGGCACAGCGTCGTGTTCTGCGTCACGGGGTGGAAATTCTGGAGTAACACAAACCTCAGTGACCATGTCTGCTCCATTTTTTTTTGTCTGCAGGTGTACTGGCATCAGTCTAACCCCCATAATAGCTGCTGCATTGCTTCTTGAGGCGTGCCAGCTGCTAAGAGTTTTAAAGGAGATGCATGAGGGCATGTGCAATTTAACAGTCTGGGATAACTGAGGTGCTGCCTTGCTGTGGTGAGGCTTTCCAGAAGGGCTTAAAGGCAAGTGCAGATTCTCTGGGTGATTTGTGTTGGCAGTTTCTGAGACTTGAAAGGGACATTTCACAAGGCTGTGTATTGATAGGACAAGGGGCAATGGCTCCAAACTGCAAGAGTAGGTTTTGAATAATTAATAGGAAGAAATTCTTAAGGGCAGTGATACACTGGAACAGGCTGCCCAGAGTTTGTGGATGCTCCACAAAGCCAGGTTGGATGGGGCTCTGAGCAACCTGGTCTAGCAGAAGGTGAACCTGCCCATGGCAGGGGGGCTGGAACTGGATGGGCTTTTGGGTCCCTTCCAGCCTAAACAATTCATGCACTCAGCACTGAGATGTGTAGTGCTCTTGCATTTTCCATAATAGCTGAAGAATTGAGCTCATCCACATGTTATTCCCTTCTTCCTTTTTCTGCTTCATCCAGTAAAAAATGGAAATTTTTCCCCTTCTCCAAGCCTTTTTCTCTGCTAATAAGATCTAAGGACCAGCCATGTGCAATAATCTTGCAGTTCTGCTGAAACGTGTAGTCAAGTGTGATCAGTGAATTCCTCCTCACTTGGCTGTACACAGATTTCACTTGGCTTCTCAGGGTGGCACCTTCAGCAGCTGGAATCTAACACAGGCTGGAGCAGCCTTGTGCTTCCTTGTACTGAGCTGGCACAGGTTGGGTTCTTCACCCTGAGAGCCCTGAAGGTGAGGATGGGCAATTGTGGAAGTCCTGTTATGTACAGAAACAAAATACTGCTTTGTTGCAAACTGCTGCTTTCCTGGAGTTGATGAATTTATACAGCCTTGTTAAAGTTCTCTGGTCCAGGCTAGAAAAAGAATTATGTAGACTTAATAACCTTATTAAGGGATGATAATTTTCAAAGGTGAAAGTGCAAAGATCCTTTTCCTGTTGAGGAAATGAGCAAAATTTTTTCACTGTGAGATTGAGCACAGTCCACCTTGGACATACTCAAAAGCCACCTGGACATGGTCCCAAGCAGCCAGCTCTGGGTGACCCTGCTTGAACAGGGCTTGGGCCAGGTGTCCTCCAGGGGTCCCTGCCGACCCCGGCAGTTCTGTGGTTATGTGAAGATTAACTGCTCTAAGTCATGTTAAGTTATCACTGACCTGTGTGGATTTATAATGCCCTGGTTTGGAAGTGTCTCCTGCCTTGCTTGTGCCCCTGTCCAGCTCCTCGCTTTGCTGTGTGAATAATCCTGAGAGCCAGGGCTGGAGCTGCCCATCTCCCAGGCTGCCATGCCTGGAAATGCTGAGGATGAGTAAGGCAGTGGGGCAGGTGAGCTCAGCTGGGGGAGGATGGACTGCAGGTGCTAAATGGAAATTTTAAATTATTTTTCCTGATGTTTCCATGCCTAAACGAAGTTTGTCCTTGCCTGGGTAACTCCATGACAGGGAGTTTGGGGAGTCACCTCTGGCTCTGTGGGGCCTTCTTTGTTGTGCTTCTTCCCAGCTTCTGTAGAGGGTTGGTGAGTCCATGCTGGAGAAGAAAAAAGCTGGAAAAGTGTTTTCATTGTTGCTGTGTGTCTGCAGTAGCTGTGCTGTCATATCTGGATGAGGTGCAGATGTCCCAGGTGCTGTGCAAGCACGGTGCAGGTGGTGATGATGTGATGTGCCCAGGCTTGCTGGGCTTACCCTGCTAATTAACACAGCTGAGCCTCTCCAGAAGGAGAAATCAACAGCTTCTAATTAGCCCTTATGTAATCAGGACTGTTCATCTTCAGAGCATTTTGCTAATACTAGCTAATCTTCACAACTTCATCTAATAAGGTCAATATTGCTCCCCTTTGACAGCTGGGGAGGGGGAGTGAAAACCTTTGCACAGATCCCTTCAGCTATTGTGAGTGTGCAGAAATGTGGCTAAAGTGGTGTGGGTGATGGGTGTCCTTAGCACCCCACTTTTCCTTGGATATACTGTTTCCCTACTGGAACTTTTACTTTTTTTGAAATACAGTGAAAACTGAAAGGATTTCACTCCCCAGGCTATTTGATGCTTTCCAAAATGAAGTCCAGGTTCCATCTCAGTCAGTTGCTGAGGTTTGTGATGAACCCTGGACAGAATATTACTGAAAACAAGACGCTTTTCCTTGGATATACTGTTTCCCTATTTTTTACTTTTTTTGAAATACAGTGAAAACTGAAAGGATTTCACCTCCCAGGCTATTTGATGCTTTCCAAAATGAAGTCCAGGTTCCATCTCAGTCAGTTGCTGAGGTTTGTGATGAACCCTGGACAGAATATTACTGAAAACAAGACTAAACCTGACCAGCAGGTCCCCTCTCCGAGGTGAGGAGCTTTTTTCCTAGTAAGAATCTGGCCAGATCCATCATTTTGTGACAGGATTTTCTGAGTGTGAGGAGGCTTTTTGGAGTCCTTACCCCACATGGGCGAGGTGTTGCTGCCATGGGATGGGTGGTGGGTCAGGGTGTGAGATGCCCCACCTTGGCAGAGATATTCCAGAGGTTTTTATGTTGTAGTACATCCATGCTGAAGGCAACACATTGAACCCAAAACCATTGCCTGGCAGCTGATTCCCATTTCCAGCAGCAGGTGGTTTGTTCTGCCAGTGAGGGTGTGGGTTGGATGTTTTGCAGAGATGTTCTGCAGTCAGTGTACCCAGGCCCCCTGGCAGCTCTGGGGGGCAGCACGTGGTGCACTCAGGTACAGGACTGGGTTGTCACCAGCAGAAATTGGTACTTTTGGCAGCTGTCTGAGGTGGGCCAGCAAGCAGCGTGTATTTCACACAAAAACTCTCCCTTGAGTCATGAGATGGTTTCTCACTCAGGTCTGTTGCTGCTCTGAGGAGTCCCACAGGATGTGCTCATCATTCCCAGCAGCAAGCCAACAATTTTTACAAGGGAAGGAGCAAGACTCATGATTGTTTCCATTTAATGAGCTCAAAGTATCTCATACTGAGGTATGTGAAAAATCTATGATCTTTTCAAAGCAAGGTGGTGTTTTGAAAGCCCTGAGCTAGGGATTTTCCGTGCCAGGTGTTAACACTACTTTGCAAATATTACAGGCTCCTCCAGAAGCTGAAGTGTGGCCCTTTCAGAGGATGTGGAGCAACTCCTTGGCTGCTGCTCCATTACTGGTTCTTTGTGTGGGGTGTGCCAGCTGTAGGAGGTACCTGGAGGAGAATGCTCATCCTGCTGAGCCTCTGACAGGGAATATTCCATTCACATACGTGAGGTCACTCCCAAAGATTCACCTCCAGGAGTCACACCCTGCTCAGCTTCCCTGGCGCTGGCCTGGACAATTTGGAGAGCAAATTGTCTCTGACCACTTCACTCCTCAGCCTTGTGGCAGCAAAGGCCAGCAGAGGTAGCACAGCCTGGAGCTGCCCCTGTGGACATCAAACCCAGTTCCTTCCTCTAAACCAAACCCACAACAGAATCTCAGATTTTTGGGTTTTGGCTGTTGAAGCCACATACTCAAACTTACAAGTTCATTTCCAATGCTTCATCCTTTAAGCAGCCACAGTGCAGGAAAGCTGCCCACAACCCTTTTGCTGTGGGGCTCATGGTCAGATGGACCTGGGCACAAGCAGGAGGCAAAGATCACTTGCCTGACTCAGGGTGCTCTTTTATCTCTTCCATTGGAGCCTTTCCATCTTTGGCAAGGAGTTAAGTGGTTTTGTCCAGGAATTATGATTTGCCATTCTCCCCTATTCTTTTTTTCCCCATAATTTTGCTTTTTTCTAGAGATGGGTCCTTTCTTATTTTATACCTTTAACATGGTTTCTCCAAGAAATGAGGATAAAATTGCCACAACCTCTTTTCACCTCTCCTGAAATAGCCTTTGAACCTGTTGGACTGTTT